CATTCATTTCCAAAAACCTAGGGCTCTTTGAAGGAAAGGTGATTTTGGGGTGGGGCAGGGAAAGAATAAGATGAATCTGGAAATCTGGAATCTCTTGTTATGGTGGAAAATAAAGAAGTATTTATAGAATGATGAGATAATGTCAAAGGCATATAAGAGTCAGCCTGAAAGGGTCTCCAAAGGACATTTGGGACAATGTAAGCATAAAATAAATAAGGAGAGTACTGTGTTTTAAGCCACTGAGTAGGAACCTCTGATTTATATAAATAAGTAGGGGATAAGGGACAGCTCCCTTAGTGCAGAGTGCCAACTAACAAATATGGAAGCAAAACTGAATCAGAAAATAATCATTGGAGGCCAAGAGAATGAGGGCAAGTTTCATAATGAACTGGATAAACAGTAATTTTGCAGTGGAAAGACCAGGAGATATAACACCATGTGCTTCCTGACATGATTCAAGCATGGACACATCCTTCTGCGGTGCTTCTGACAAAAATATAAAAGCTACGTCTAATAATACAACAGAAGAACTGGCTTTTTTTTTTTTAATAACAAGGTTTAGGAAGACAAAGCTCAGATTAAAGGACGGAAGAGACATGACAACTGCGTGGAACACATGGTCCTCAATGAGATTCTGGACTCAGAAAAGAAAAATAGCCATAATGACAAAAAAAAAAAAAAAGGAATAATTGACAAAATTTAAATATGGTATATGGATAATAGTTTCCATCAATGTCATATTTCCTGATTTTGATGCTTATTCTGTTAAACATTAAGAACCTCCTAGATTTTAGGAAATACACACTGAAATTTTGCAGGGGAAAAGAGTATGATGTTGCCAGGTTACTCTCAAACATGTCAGTCCAAGGAAAAGAGTGTGTGCGTGCACATGATAAAACACATGCAGGGCAGCGCCTGTGGCTCAAAGGAGTAGGGTGCGGGCTCCCTATGCCGGAGGTGGCGGGTTCAAACCCAGCCCCGGCCCCAAACTGCAAAAAAATAAAATAAATAAATAAACAAACAAACAAATAAATAAATAAATAAAATGCAGCAAATGTAATGTGGGTGAAGGGTATACAACAGTTCTTTGCACTATTTTGCTACTTTTCTGTAGGTTTAATATATCAAAAATAAAAGATTACCAAAACCTATGCATGTATACATGTTAT